TTTTAGTACGTGCTTTGGTTTGCAAGTCGGCTTTCTCTGTGTTCTCTTACCGAGAGCTTTATCTTTAATTTCACTCAAGGCAGCGTCCCGTCTCTCGCTGCTGGCCTTCTCTTCGGTGGCTTAGCAGGACTAGGCGCTTACCAGCAGTCCCGAGACCCGAAGAATGTATGGCTCTCCCTCGGTGAGTCTGCTCAGCATGCAACGACTTCGCCTTGCCAGTAGCAGAGGGAATAGTGACCTTTTTCCTAGCACATTTCAGCTGATCTGTGCCCTTTAATTTGTACAAATGTAAGTGCTGGCAGGACACCCTGCCACAGCCAGGAGATGTTTGTGTAAGAGCACAGTAATCTGGTTCTCAAACCTAGCTTGTCCTTATTGAAGCCATTTGGTGAGAAATACCTCTCTCCTGTGCCAGATTAGATACCCTGTTAAACTAAGTGTAGGCACAGGAAACGTATGTGAAAAACACATGGTTCGAAGCAGCATTTTTAGCCTGTGGTCATGGAATAAGCGTTTTTGCAGTAGCGACAGCGTTATAATGGTGTGTGGCGTTATGGAATATCGGTTTGCACATCCTGGAAGAGCTGCATATGATCTGATGTTTCATGTGCTCTGGAAGAAACAGTCTGAAGTATTAAAAGAAAGGAGGCAACGATCTATTCTGCTTGCTTACAGTAGATGGGACAGGAAGTTGTGATGGGGTTTAGCTTGCAGTTAAACCCTTCAGGTGAAGGAGAATGATAAAAGGAGAGTGGAAAGTGTTATCAAGCACTGGAAGAGATCAAGCGAACCTCAGGGATTTCTAGCACTGCAGGATTTTAATAGCCAGTTAAACCAGTTATCTGTGAGGAACTGATCTAGCTTCTGGACACTAGGTTAGCCTGGATGACCTTCTAGTTCTGTAACTACACCACAGCATTTAAATTAGCCAAATTATCATAACTGTTATGATACTACAGCATTAACTACAGTGATTTAAGACTATTTATAACCAATAGGGCTTGATCGCAGAATGTGCCGAAAGGCTTTATGAAATCCCTGGTAGATTCTGCAGAGGACCAAATTGCCTTGTCACTAAGGACTGAAAGGAAGGATGAGCAGCTTCTGTATATCCTGATGTGGTGCACGTAGTGCTCTCGGGTGCGCTTCTTTAAAGTGGTGGTGTGTCCCGGTCTCTTACAGCTCCATATTCATCCATTCCTCCTCAGCCCTGCTGTGGTGTGTAGTTGTGGCTCCTGCTGAGCTTTAGCTTGGTCACAGTTATATCACGGGTAGAAATCCAGTAAAAGAAGCTTGACAGAGTATCTTTAGATTACCCTTTGCCCTGTCTGATGCAAACAAACTTGAAGCTTTGGAGAAAGGTATACGACACCTCCATCTGCCTGTCTTCTTCAAAGAAATGTGAATATTGATGGGATTTTTTTTTTTTCCAGACTGAGACATTAATTTGGAGTAACATTTAAAATGTTAGTTGCTCTTTCAGGTCCATCCCTTAGATTGCTTTCTGTTTGCTAACCAATATTTTCCAGGGGAGCTGATTTATTACTAGTCGTAGTATTTAGTGCCACCTTCCAGTTCAGAACGTCACAGAGAAATGGGAATTGTAATTACATTTGCCTCTCGCCTAGTGAACTTTGTCATTGTCGCAGCTTTCTGGTGGTTTTGAGCCTATCAGTATTTAAGGAAATAATCATTCTTCCGCAAACAAGGAGAGACTGAGGGAGAATTAGTGACCTGCCCAGCGGGTTGGCAGTTAGACAGCAGTCTCAGCTCTGATGACATCTACTGGCTTCTCCTGAGCAGTGGAGCACGCTTACCGAGCTGCTGAGAAGCTTGCCACAGCTCTGCTGTTTAACAAAAATAAGTAAAACGCTTGCATACACTTCCTTGTGGAGAGGAGGGAGGCATTCCTGTCTGTAAACAAAGGCCTGTTTGGTTGGCACTGGGAATGGCCAGTGCCGTGCTGCTTTTGCTGTTCCAAATGGTTCTGACTGACCTTCTTTTTTCAACAGTGGCATCTGGAACCCTGTCAACTGTTATGGGAATGAGGTTTTACAACTCCAGAAAAGCAATGCCTGGGATAATTGCTGGTGCCAGGTAGTCACCTGTTTCTTGTTCTTGTCTGTATTTTTCAAATAAGCATCTTGTATGTAATTTATTTGTGGATTATGTTGTTTTTTATTTTTTTTTTATAAGTGGTACATGGTAAGTTCTGTGAAAAATGAAGTCTTCTGGTGGAATTTGGCTATCTGAAATCGTGTCACTGTTTTCTTCTTTCCTGTTTTTTTATGGGATTTTTGCCTCCACCTTTTTTTTTTTTTTATCTTTTATAACAATTATTCTGTTCAACAGCCTACTGATGGTTGGACGGCTTGGATTGCAGATCATGGAAAAGCCTCTTCAGCCATAAGTCTGCATCGAGGCACTTGAACGTATCTAACTGAGAAGCCTGAGAATGCAACTGCCTAAACATTGTTACACAAACGTGGAAAAGACACTGCTACCTGTGCATTGATTTTTTCATATCCTAACGCATGTGGGTTGTGTTTTTAAAGGACCGACATTGAGAGCCCTTGTTACGTCTTCCAAAATGGTATTTGTCTTAACATTTTCTGCACTGCGAAGCAAGAAAATACAAATACAGCATTAGCCTACCTTCTTGTCCTGCAGATAGAGACCTCTTGGCGCTTGCACACAAACAGCTGCAGGATTCAAGCTTAAACGTGCGTCTGGACTTGCCATTCTAAAATCACCTGTACCTCTAAAACAAGGGTAGAGGAGTTGCCAATTTGTTGCTAGGAATTCATGTAACAAATGTGCTTAATATATTACTTCTTCCTTTCCTTGCCAGTTTATTCGGTCGTGATGTTTGTCAGTCAGGGACTCTGTTCTCCCAGCACTGCGTGCTAGAACCTGGTCCCATGAAACACAATCCCAGAGCAGGCTGTCAAGGTTCTGCTGCAGACCTGTTACTTGCAATTACTCATAAGCAAAAGTGCCTAGCTAAATGTCACTTTTAAAGATTACTATTTGTAAATCAAAAAAGTGCTTTATTAGATAATGGTGAATTCTAGGCATACCTCTTGCATTTCATGAAAATTAAAATGTTATTCTAAATAAACCACCAAATTATTATTACCAACTTCTGTGTTCTACACAATTATTTTTTCTTTAATTGGTCATCTGGATTGATACAGTTTGGTGCACTTTGCCCCGGGTGTCTGGGTGTATATGTGAATGTGAATTGTATAAATGATCTCTATTCCATTCCATGAATTTAGTGACTTGTAAATATAAAAGTCTCATGAACTAGGGGCACGTGCAGGGAACAGAAGCAGACAGACCACATATACAAAGTGTTACAGTGAAGGGGACTTTTGGTTTTGTTTTTTTCTGAGAAGAATAATCTACTTCAGATTTGAAAAATGCTCTATGAAAGTTATTTAAAGACTGCAGGGCTCAGTTAATCAGTCTTTGTCCTCAGTTGATTCCCCTGATGCCTGAAATCATTCTAAATATAAACCTGCCATACAGAAATAATCCTGGGAGCTACATGGGGATGGTAATGTATCCCTCTTCTGGTCTCATTGAACTTCTGTCTCTGTACTGATGCCAAGCTTTGATTTCCTCAACCTTTCTTCTTTGGCGGTTGGTGCTGGGAGAGATGGGAGTGGTGGGGTTGATCATTAGACTGCTGAGATGCTGCCATTGCTTAGAGTTCTCCAAGTATCAGGGTAGTACTTTATAGCAAGAAAGCGACGTCTTGTGCTCTTCCTTCCCTCTTTCCTTGTCTCAGTGGAGTGGGCAGAGCTACCCCAGCAGCCAGGCTCAGTCAGCAGTGCCGTGGTTTTGCCAGGCAAGTGGCAGCGCTGAGGCGGGGCAGAGGGTAAGCCAGGATGCCAAGTTAAGCAGGTTGGGTTCTAGATCAGCAGGGACGTGGCCAGGAATGGGGGCAGCTCCAACAAGGGCGAGGGTCTCATCAGCCTGGTCCAAGGCCACACAACTTGGGTCAGAGCTGGCTTGAGCACAGGCAGCACGATCTCATGATGGGGAGCTGTACTCAGGACATCATCATCATCATCCTGACAGAGTTCAGCTTCAGGGGCTCCCCTGTATTTATTTTTTTCCTCTTAGGCCCCTGCATAGAAACAAAGGGCGTACAGGATGGCAGATGGTTTGTTTAGAAATCATACTTTTAAGTGCCTAATCCGAGGCTGTGGGCAACTATCTGAATGTCTTTGCTCTAGCTTGAGAAGGTTAATAGGCCAGACATCAGCATTTAAGACATTTATCTTTAAACTACTGTACAGGTTATTTCCCTCTTCATACTGCTTTTGAAGTAGTTATCTTCTGTGGAAGTAAGCTGCAAAGAGAAGTGTATCTTTTGCAATAAACTGAGAACAGCCACAATCCAGCAGTTTTCTAATTGTATAATGCTGGTCTCAACTCAGGTAACTTGCAGATTTAGGCTGCAATTGCCCTTAAATGGAATAAAGACTAGAGGAAGCTTTTGAACTCTTAGACCAAAGTGTTAAGCCCTGCTGCTGTTTCACAAGCTTTGAATTTGAGAACTGCTAATAGAACTTATTACCACTTGTCATCTTCAGGAGAAAGAAACCCAAACAAAAGGAGGAGAAAAAAAACCTTTAGCTTTATACTTTTTACCCCCTTGGATCTCTTATCAGTAGATACTAAATTTCTTAAGCATTACATGGCATTACTGCACTAACAGTTTCGTGTGTATCAATGAATCGTAGTTCAAATGACTGTACAAAGCCCAATAGCCTACTGTGTCTGGTTTGTTTTTTTCTTGCTGTTTACAAGAAGAATTTCTTACACTTGCCGTGCTTTGCTTATGGACAGGTAAAGGCTGTTACGGTCATGTCAAAGCTGTTTCAATGCTCATTAGCATACAGTAAGGAGAGCATGTTTCTTCTAACCATAGTTAGTGCTATAAACAGTACTTACTCATTTTTCTCCTCTAGGTGACTTACAGACACGTGAGCTGTGGACACATTAGTTAATTCCTTGACCAGACACTGATTTTAACTAAGTCGGTATCATCCTGTAATAGAGATAAGTGATTATTTTATCTTGTTGGGGTTTCTTAAATTATAAAAGCAGTACATTTATGCCTGTTTTAGAAAATCTAAGGTCATCCTTCACTGCCATAAATAGTTACAGACAAATTAAGATGCATTTAATAGCACAGGGACATCTGTTAGTACTAAGGAAATGACTAGACTAATGGCAATTGAACTAAATTCTCTAGTGCATTACTAACCAGATACCCCTATCCCTGTATAGCTCTCCCAGTGTAAAAGTGGTATTTTATTTAGGTGCAATTTTTATAACAAAATACTTGACTTTTGGTACAACTGTTTTAGATTAAATTGATTTCCAGTAAGTTAACATAACCCATATATTATGGCACATCAGGTCAACAACAGGAATTTAGATTTTTATATGCAATTATAAAAGCTATACAAATACATTTCTTTTTTTTTACAATGCATAAAGTAATCATTAACAGCTTTACATCTTTAAAGAACATAGTAATTTTGTACTTTAAAATGTTGAGTTTAATGTAATTACAATGTCTAAAGCATCTATTCTAAATGCAGTTGTTAACAGAAGTGGCCCAGCTCAACACCCTAAGAACAATTTATTTTATACTGCAGGGTCCTTTGCAGGGTATTGCTGTAAAACTTAGCACAGAAGCCTGGGAAAGTACTGAACATGCATATAAACAGTGAGGTATTGCACTATTAAAGTTTGTGTGTGTTTTCAGCTACCTAAATTGACCTTTAAGATCTAAACCAGAGAGCAATGTCGTTGAAGACAGCCCAGTTTGCTTCCTCACATAGCTCAGTCAGCTCCTGCAGTTTAGCTTGATCGCCCAGTAAAGAGAGGTAGAAACAGGAGTTCACTGATAAATTATGCCCTTTTGGGTAATTCCCTCTTAAAATGAGTGACTGACTGCAGTGATTCCGGCTCCTTAAATGCCACTCCTTTGACAGGACAGATAAAATTCTAATTTTTAGGCTTCACTACAGCTTGCTAAGGTTAATCTGGCATTCAGTACTTGTGTAGCCATTTTTCAATATTGCTTTATCATTCTATAGCCATACCTGGGCCAAGATTTTAGACCTTCATTGTGTAGTATTTGTCAATGGATTGTTTATGTCCTACTACAAGTTCTTGTTGCTATTAGAGACATTTGCACATTACAGACCCTGAGTAACTCTTAGGTACGACTGAGTTCTGAAAACCATGTAGGAGAGCGTGGTGTTCTTGACAAAATCCAGTCTGTGCTTTCACTGTCATCTTTCCAGTAAGGAATGAGCTTAAAGACCCAGAAGCCTGGTGCTGTTCTGCTTCAGCCCTGCTTCTAGCTGCTTGTGTCCTTCAAGCATATGCCAATAGCGGATGTTGCCCTGGGCAAACAACTGTAACAGTTCTTTTAAAAGTAGGAGGATAGGAGATCCATCTATAGAAAAATATTGAGTGGAATCTGCTTCTCAGTCGTTTTGGTAATACACGTTAATACAATACTTCTACAGAATCCTATCTTACAGCCAGTATTTTACATGGTATTGTAAGTATAGTAGAGGTCATAGAATACAAGGTCTTTTTTTCTTCTTTACTAGTGCATAGTCTTAAGAAATGTTAGAGCAACAGGCATTTGAGGTTTCCAGTGCAGGAGAACTGACTATGGCTCACACAGTATCTACACAGAATGGCATTCTCTATCTGTTTCCTCCATATTTGGCCACCCAGTCTGTTCTTCCATGTACTGGCTGAATTGTTGGTGGGCGGGTTAAAATACTCAGGTTTTTTGCTGCTGAACTGAAAGTAGGACCTGGTAACTGAGCATGAGCAGCCTTGGTTTTCCAGGAATAATCTGAAAGGAACAAGAACTCAGAATTAATTATGACTCAAAAGGTATTTCATTCCTTTGCAGATAAAATAATGACAGCTTAGAGATGACTTGTGGTACTCAAGGATGCTGACAGAGCAGAATGTCTTGTTCTCCGATATGCTGCCTATGCTTGTTTTCAGATAAGGTTAATGCTTCCTATAGTTTGTGTATCGTATTAGCAATTCTCATCTGCTGGATACTTGTTTTGCAGCAAACCCTTGAGAAAACATTTGAGATTGAAATTCAGTGGAAAAAATGATGCATATGCCTACAACTCTCTATCTCCTGTTACAAAACTGCTACAGAATGGAAGTGTTCTTTCCTCTATCACAAATATTCAAAAAAAAAATGTAATTATAACACTGATAAACTTATTAAGACCCAAACAGCCTAGACTGGAAGACAGCTTCTGGAGACCCTCTTGTTTCTTTTGAAATCTTATGCCTTTTATTCCCCTCCTGCTAAGCCAAGAACTCCTGGTGTACCTG